GTAAGTGGATTCTTATTCCATTTATTGAGCCACACTCGTAGTCTCACGAGCCCACAATCGCAGATTGGTGATCTTATTAAAGCACACAAGCAACTACCGTCTTTGTGACCAGCTTTTGTTTTAAATAAATGGGTGAACCGTTTTTGGAAATACTCAATAATTAACAATAATTACCGTCCAGTTCCCTTCTGGTACTAAACTGCTGTACACATTGAGTTGAACACGGGGTCCAAGATACCGCCATTTTTCCAAACTCCACGAGAAACAGTTGACTTGCAGGGTCTGAATTCACGCCTCAAGACCACGCGTGAATTTCTTCCAGTCTAATGAGGGCATTGGTGTAGCCATTTCTAGCGTCGTTGTACGCGTCTTTTAAAAATCGCTTAAATGTAGCAGCAATACTGGTTACTTGAAGATGATCCATTATCATTTTGCGTTTATAATTGTGTTGAAAATCGTGCATTTTGATTTCAGTTTAGAGCTGGTTAAAATGCAGGAACTTTGGAAAATTCGTGTTTAATTCCGGTTCATAAGCCAGCTAAGCTGACACATGTTCGTTGCTCACAGTAGCTCAGCCAGATTGGCCCTAGTCTCATTGGTCGGAGCGCAGCAGTAATACATTCGCTCAACCATCATGGGCCGCAATTTCTACCCGTCACCAGGAGGGTTACCTTTTTTACGATGCATTTAATAACGTGTCCCTTATTATTGGTCTGCCAATATCGGCTCACACATGAACCAGACTTGTTGAGGTCACGCTACGAGAGCCACATGAATAAATCGTTCACCAAACATGGTATTAGTTGGCCGGACGTATATTGACACATACCCAACCAAAATTGATACAGTAAACTTCTCGCAAGTGCGGATTTTTGGATACTTTCACGACAAAGAAAGGCCGATTCTTCATCCTCACATGTCTAAATTTCGGTGAGAAAAGCTTGAATAAATATACTCCCTAAAAACCGTGCAGGCATGAAGGTGGAGGTCCCGTTTGCATACATGGTAGCCAGTACACACTTCTTCTGAGCGGTCATGATACCAGTGCACAAAATCACGACGGACAATTTGCCCCGAGTTGCATGTGAGGTGTTGGCGCTGACGTAGACCCGAGGGTAGAAAATCGTTTTTTTCAAGCATAGTTAAACGTTCTGTTTTGTCGGGAATTACTGCCCTCCACGATTCCAAACATATGCTTCAAATTACTTAGGATACTTGATTAAACCTGAACACTACTTCAGTTGCAAATAATCCAACGGATTTCATTTATTGCTGAATCATTCTTTTGGAAGCAGCAATAAAACAAATGTTCGTCCATTTTTCTCTCAATCGTCAAACCCGGTGGTATTTTGAGGCCCATTGGACAGTAAACAACATGGCCGCATGGTGATTGTTCTCGTTTTTTGAACGCACGATGGAGACTTCTGAGCGATTGTCATCGAAACCTTCCCATTCCTTCTGAAGTTCGTTTGGCTTTGTATCAAATAAAAGATAAGTCATGTGCTAACTTATCTAACCCTGCAATATTTTGACACAATACCTGATGTACCACTTGGCGTGCTCGCCAAATTTCTCCTGACTTAGAATACTTGTCCCACTTTAGACCTTACCCGATATTAATTCAGTCCATCTCTAAGCATCTGCATTTAATAATACGACTAAAACTAAATTTCACATTTGCAATGACTGCAGCAACGCCAGTACAAACGCGCACTTAAATTAGTAGCTGATATTTAGCGAAAATCCACAAAACGTGTTGCGTAGGTAGCTCACTTCCGTCTAGAACCTATCAAGCATATAGCTTTCAAATCAATACAGAGGACTCACCCACTTCTGTGGTTGAAGTTGGGGCAAAAGTGACTCAAAATTCAGTGAATTTCATCTGGCTTAACACAATAGAAAACCACGTTATTATTTAACTCCCAATATAGATAATGGTGTTTTGTCGTTATGTGAATGTAGCGTTGCCGACTCTTTGAAATCTCGCAGATCGTACTTCAACTTTAGACCTCCTCATGGACAATGAAGATTGTTCACCAGCACAGTCTCAATCACGTTTAGACCCATACTTTCACTCCAACTACCCGAATTTGTCGAACCGGTTTTTCTAAATCGGTAGTTGGGCGGTTGTAGGTTGGACAGCCAAACATCTTTGTGACTTTTGGGGGCCAGATCAATATTCATTGGCCAGTGGAGACATTTACGCAGGTGTTGCAGTGTACATGTCTACACTCCGTTGGGTTGCAGGCGTTGTGGCCATGTTCAAAGCCTAACATCTGAAAATCCTGGAACATCTGTCCAGTATTTCGGAGCGGCGGCAACCTTGGGCAGCTGCGACCCCCGTGTGTTGTTCATCCATCAATTCCCTAAATGGGTCATCTACAATCAAGCCCCATGCACCTTGAGCTCTTTTGAAAATGCCAACTGCTCCTCGTGAGTCGATATAAATGTTCTCCTTTCGTCGTCATACCGACCCCATAAATATGCGGCTACCAGAAACATCCTATTCTATGATTGTTTACATTTGTCCCATTGACATCCGTGTAGACCTGGGACTTGATGACTCAAAATCTTTTTGCCCTACAACACCGTACAAACCAAAACACACTTTACCGATTCTTCGACGATCTGCAGAATATATTTTCGAACCATGACATGGCAGGTTCATAAGCTCAACGCTTGATCCGGTGTACAAATACACAGCATGTCGAATGGCTTACACCCGACAGCAACTTCGATTGGTGATGGAACGTTTGCAATCCAAATTCTAAGCTCGGCGAACAGACCAACAACCAAACAGCGCACCCAAACTACCTGCATTCCACAACATTGCTCATAAACTCAATGCTTAATCCAGTGTACGAATACGAATTGCCCGTACCGCATTCAGCCTCACCCACCCATCGTTGACGATCTTCCCCAAACAATATTTGATTGGCTTTGAGCTTCCTATTCTCCATGGAGTTTAAATAAGAAGCGCTATTAGATCCAGTTGTTTTGACTCTACGTATTTAATGTCAAATGTATCTTCACCAATCTTTTTCATCCTTGTTTTCAAGGGATCCTCACACAAGTGAACAAGCTTACACTCCCCGTAATCTAAGGCTTTGCAAATCTGAAAAGCATGAATGCTCTACGACCGCAGAGTGTCTTCTAAAGATGCAAATCCAAAGGGTTCGGATGGCTAATTTCAGCGGCTATNCGATCATTCGAGCGGGACACCTTGTAGTCTACTGAACCTGATATCTCCAACTTTCCAACATGCCTGAGCAACGTGCAAGGCATAAATTCTGGATTCTTTGTGATCCGCAAGGAGTGGCTGATTCCAAGCTTACACAAACAATACCTCGATATTTAGTAGAATTTTGATCGAATTGAGTAACCTCACGAAAATTCAAGCACATGATTATGCGAACAAACTGTGCAGCTCTAATATCTGCGTATTTCAACCCTTTTACTTACGAAAAAGCTGAAGTTTACGTTTCATGAAAAATAATCCATTTCGCTAAAACCATTAATTCAGCTCACGACAATGTGCATATACTTGTGTATAACTTTACGTATACCTATAATAACTCAAATTCGACTCACCAACACCAGGGCCTGGTTCTTGTATTATTGAGACATTAAAAACCGAAATTGACAGGAGCAAAGAAGGAACATAATTTGATTAGCTATCACGAAATCAGTTGGTTAAGAAATATTATCAGCCCACTTCCTGAAATGGTGCGTATGGTCTCACTTAAACCTGCTGGTAGATCAACTGGTTTGACAGCGGGAAACATTCCGTGTAAACATCTTTCACCATGTATATCGGACCATAGCTTTCTTTTACACAAACCTCGATATTTAGTAGAATTTTGATCGAATTGAGTAACCTCACGAAAATTCAAGCACATGATTATGCGAACAAACTGTGCAGCTCTAATATCTGCGTATTTCAACCCTTTTACTTACGAAAAAGCTGAAGTTTACGTTTCATGAAAAATAATCCATTTCGCTAAAACCATTAATTCAGCTCACGACAATGTGCATATACTTGTGTATAACTTTACGTATACCTATAATAACTCAAATTCGACTCACCAACACCAGGGCCTGGTTCTTGTATTATTGAGACATTAAAAACCGAAATTTACAGGAGCAAAGAAGGAACATAATTTGATTAGCTATCACGAAATCAGTTGGTTAAGAAATATTATCAGCCCACTTCCTGAAATGGTGCGTATGGTCTCACTTAAACCTGCTGGTAGATCAACTGGTTTGACAGCGGGAAACATTCCGTGTAAACATCTTTCACCATGTATATCGGACCATAGCTTTCTTCGACATACATTTGGAGCAGTAATATCAAAGTGATATTTGCGCTGAATTGATTGTTACAATCATCCTGATTCAATTTGGCGGGGCAAATACGTAAACGTGGGTATCACTCCGAACGAACTGTTTACGTAATGTGCCTTTATCCAAAAGAACCATTTTTCTCCTCATTTGAGTCTTTGTTGATGTTCAGAATGCTTCATTTGTAATCAGGTATATTGCTCCAGGGGTCGTCTTACTAGTGATTCTGACACGCAACTTGAAACACTCAGGTGGTTTTAAAAAAACGTGGGAGCATTTCAAGCTTTACAGCATTTATTTGGTACCTCCTATCAGATTCACGGGCCTTCACAACTATATCTTCAGATTTGGTTGGAACAGACAAACACAGAGCCTACAGATGTGTGGCCAGTTTTTTGCTTTAAATGGCCCGGTGACATTCAATAGACAAACTCAGCAGGTAATAATCGCTACCATCCAGGTCACTTCTGGTATTCAGATGCCGGAGGGAATGAGCTAGCTCCGAGGGCCGAGATAACGCCAGCTTGTTCAAGCTAGGGAGGAACAGTTGAAGCAACCATTATCGGTAAGTGAATTCATGACTTAATCACTAAACTCCCTTGAGCTCACACACAAAATATTTGCTTGTTCATTCTGACCTTCATTTCTAGTGTTATCAGGTGCGTCGCTTAGACATGGTTCAAACGCAACAATGGTACCGGATGCATGAACGTCATGCCTGAGTGCTGATCCCGCTCCAGTGCCTGGTACCAGAAAAAGAACTGACCGACAAGGAACACAACAGCTTTGTTGAAACGAGCAAGTGCGTGCGAGTGCTAAAGGTACAACGACCCCGAGCCATTTATAGGGAACTTTTTGAAACTGAACCAGGCTAACTGATGGGCATTTGATGAACACCCATCAACATCGATAGTGCTATGAGACGCCTGAGCGCTGGACATATTCGGTCGGGCTTTTGTGGTGTGCCTGAACACTCATTAAATTTTGTTGAACTGGTCAAACGGTTAATTGGTCTGGATGCTCCCCGGCTTCCTTACTGAGAGTGTGGTGGATTTTAGGTTCTGGTTTCCGGCCGTTCTGGGGTAACTTTCAGGAAACTGACCTTCCTGATGTCTCCTCTTTTTGCTGTTCAACTTGAGATTGTCGGCGCGCGTCAAGTTAAAAATGTCCAACCAGTATTCTAGCGCCGCCGGTACGGCATCTCGGTTACAGCAATGGATCCGTCTGGGACAACGCATGTGAGTCAGTGAATATTGGTGCTGATCTCGGGAGATTAAAGGTTCCAAATAGCATGTTGTCGTCTACTAACTGTTCTTCCGCCTTCGAGATCGAGCACTCAGCCGGCCATACCGATTCACATACTGCTTCCAAATCGATGATCGCACCCACACTGTAAATCACCTGACCGACTATTTTGACTACGAATCCAACAGTACAACTTCGGTCCCAGGTCGATAGCCCCTAACAGACGCACGGTTGCCAGGCCGTGACCCTGATTTCTCTCCTGTTGGCGATCGTAAACACGCAGCTGTCGGCGGGTTAGCATGATTGGTAAGTCTCAGCCGTCTCTTTATTGCACCGTTTGCTGGGGAGAGATCAACCAGAAGCTGTGAATTAGGAATTGCTCTATAATTCNAGAGCGATCACCCAGAAGCTGTGAATTAGGAATTTCTCTATAATTCAGCAGGAAAGCTTCAAAACATCTGCCATGGTCACCTCTCCTGTATTTGTCAACGCGCATTTTTAACATTGTATACAAACCGTTCAGATTAACCGTTGACTTGAGATAGAATAGTGGGGAAGTAACATGTGTGACGCCGTGTCCTCGAACGAGTTCGCCAAACGGAATAATGTGAAATTATTCTCTGGTTAATGCATCCAATTCATTCCATCACAAAAATTATATCAGGCACCCCGAAAGTTAAAATGTTTAAAATCATGGAGATCAGTGCACATTATCTGCAAAATACAATTGTAATTAAATGCTTCCTCAATTTCACTGACTTCAAATGTCAAGTTGCAGTTACCTTTTGTAGCCCCACACGCTTAACATCAGATATGGGGAGGTTAAATCTACCACATGTTTTAGCTAATTTCTTCTGGTATCCAAAGTGGAAATGTGACCTTTTTCCCTCTGATGAATCAACATTTTTGTGTCTCAAAATGCAAATTCACAAAGGCTACCCCTTTTAATTAAGTGGACCAAATACTTGTTGTAAATTCCTTCATTTCTATGCAGCACCTGACTTCTGTTTGTTAGAATTTAATCATTAATATGGAAAAATCTGTCAAGACTAACTCACCTGCAAGAACGCTTGTTTCTTGAAATGAAGTTAGAGGAAAAATTAAATCTGAATATGATTCGGCTACCAATGTATGATCCAACACCATTAAACAAGACAGCAAGCAAATTGTTTAGGTTTTTGGTGCTTGAAAGTATAGTTCTTTATAATCAAATATGTTGTTATTACCGATTCTCCAATACCCAATGTTTTATTCCCATGTACCTGTCATGTGAAATAACCAAAGATTTTGCTTAAGAGATGCGTATTCTATAAGCGCGAAATATTAGACCTTAAAACGTCGAGCCGAAACTCGCTTTTGCGGACCTCCCACGAATTATTTGTTGTTAGGAAGAACCTTTGTATACCATTATGAAAACGAAGACCAAATTTGGTTGAATTATCTCCGACAAATTAGCAGAAAGTGGCGGCTTATCTTTAGGTACAAATATTTCCTCAATTTTAGCGCACATAGGGAAACTAAAATAGATTTATTCGTATACATATATTCACAGAAAAAAATTAATAAGTGAGAAACGGGAAATGTGTGTAATAGTGCTCTTTTACTTCCCATCATAAGACATTTGGAGTGCGGGGCACTCATAATTCGTGGAGAAAAGTATATTTATTGCAATTCTTAAAAATTAATATTCGGAACATACACAGAGACGGGCGAAACAAGAACATGGAAGAAATTCCTAGCAAACTTCCAACCAAACGTGATTTGTTTAGGCACAAAATCCGAATGTCAAAGCATGTGCGGATTCCAGTAACGTTCGGCACTTTTGTGAACACACAACATCGGTTTGCAGCAAAATGCCTGATGTGCCAATGTGCAGATTTTGGTATGCAGTTGTGTACGTGAATAGTTGTGATGTGTACGTTATGCTTGAAAATTTAATTCTTGAGTTGCGTGGTTGCTCAGTGATGAGACTGCGGTAGTGTAACTATATCAGCGATGATAGTTTCGAAAATAACAAGGGTTTCATAATGAGGTAACACCCACCAGAGCGAAAGGGTTGCTAACTACCTCTTGTCCGGAGGTAGTGAGGCTCTATCAGTTATCAATTATTATTGAAGAGCATGGTCACAGACATAAAACGTGAGTGCAAGCGACCAGTACGACAAGGTAGCGGGGGAATATGATAGAAAAGAGATAAACATCGCATTCGAGTTCATGCCAGCAAAAGTTCTAGTCAGATGAGATGGATCCGAATGTATTTAAACATTTCGATATGAAAACACGCCTCGTAAGAGGAAAAACCGAAGAAAGGACAAACAATGGACAATACTGTTTAAGGCGCGGTAGGCAGTAGCACGGTCAAGACTCGCACATCAAGCACAAAGTGTCCGTCATACTGGGTCTGGTGTGAGATTAGATGGCAAAAATGTACATTCAACGTCAAGCGCCACGCATAAAAGTGTCATAAGTACGCAGAGAGCCCACAATGGCAAGCAAACACAAGTCATTGAGTGTGACCTTAGGAAGTCCCAGTCCAATAATAGCCTTGGTCGATTGAGGAAAGCATATTCTTCGATAAGAGATGATCATCGGTTAGTGAACCAAAAAGTCTACATCACAACCGATTGCATGTAAGGCTGAGAATATGATGAAGGAATCCTCACCAGCACCATACTTTTGCTTCTTCTCGTTCCAAACACTCACTCCGCGCCCATCAGGACTATGTTGACGTCTGTTGCAGTTGCACGGCGATCTCGAACAGCGATTATTTCAGGTTTGATGAAGGATGTCGAAGTAGGTGCTCCCAACTCCTCAAAGACGGTGTACCCCAGTCGACGGAGACGTTTTGCAAGTTCCCTTGCAACTCTATTATGACGAGTACATTTGGCGTCATGCGTGATCCAGCAAGATAGCAAAATATGCATCGAACTCTCCAGGGGGCCACAGTCTACACGACCTAAAATCCTCTGGCCACAATAACCATGCCGAGCGCTTCTAACGCTCGTCCTGAGCAGGTTGCAATAGAGCTGGATACCACCGATACATATCCGTGGAAACACTCGTTCTGGAAATACGAGCCATCGATTCGAGAGAGGCGAAGCGACCAACCCTCTTAAACCGCGACCGTCAACGCTGTTGTGTAGACTATCACCTCAAGCAGCCACCAGCTCTTCTTTGGTGTTTACGCATGTACCATGGACTCGGATCGGAAGGCTGAGATCCCGAACAATTTTGTCAAATGCGGAATCGTTGACCACATTGCGTTATACTCGGCAATGAGTATAAAGGAGCTTTTCCATACGCATTCTCCGCTGCAACGGGATTGTTGCACTCGGACTTGGGATACCAAGTCCCCCATGTTGTTTTCCGGCATGGATGTATCTGATCGGGGTGTTCTTCGGTAGACGTAGCCAGCCGCGAATATGTTAACTGATGTAGTTGTCCAATCTTTTCAGCGTGTTTTGGTGAACTTGGCCGAGCGCGGACGAACACGTCAACCTCGGTATCAGATAGTTCCTCGTGATCTCCATTTTTTGATGCGGCTTAAACGGGGCGGGCGCCACTTTTTCGAGCAGATTGAGCAGGTGCTGTCGGTGGCTGAAGACTCCTTTCACTTGGAAGTAAAGGGAGTTCCCAAATATGTTACGGTCTGTCGGACCTATAGAAGTGATGAGTTTCTCAGCGAAGCGAAATGGTTCGACTGAGACTGCTGTTGCCCGATGTTTCCTGTCCCCACAAATAACCATCGCTTTAGTCTTTCGGGTGTTTATTTTCATGCCAACTCTTCCCAACTCGACCGCAGCAGATTCAAGCTTCTCTTTAAGGCGTGCCTGACCTTCTGCACACACGACCCAGTCGTCAGCGAAAGCAAAACCATCTACTAAGGTGTCATGGAACTGGTATCCCAGTTGCGGCATCGACAATCCAAGAACCTCTCCGCTGCAACGGGATTGTTGCACTCGGACTTGGGATACCAAGTCCCCCATGTTGTTTTCCGGCATGGATGTATCTGATCGGGGTGTTCTTCGGTAGACGTAGCCAGCCGCGAATATGTTAACTGATGTAGTTGTCCAATCTTTTCAGCGTGTTTTGGTGAACTTGGCCGAGCGCGGACGAACACGTCAACCTCGGTATCAGATAGTTCCTCGTGATCTCCATTTTTTGATGCGGCTTAAACGGGGCGGGCGCCACTTTTTCGAGCAGATTGAGCAGGTGCTGTCGGTGGCTGAAGACTCCTTTCACTTGGAAGTAAAGGGAGTTCCCAAATATGTTACGGTCTGTCGGACCTATAGAAGTGATGAGTTTCTCAGCGAAGCGAAATGGTTCGACTGAGACTGCTGTTGCCCGATGTTTCCTGTCCACACAGTCAACATCACTTTCGTCTTTCGGGTGTTTATTTTCATGACAGCAACTTCAAGCTTCTTTATAAGATGTGCCTGACTTTCTGCACACACGACATAGTCGTCAGCGGTCCACACAGCATCACTTTCGTCTTTCGGGTGTTTATTTTCATGACAGCAACTTCAAGCTTCTTTATAAGATGTGCCTGACTTTCTGCACACACGACATAGTCGTCAGCGAAAAAAACCATCTTCCATCTGAAAACGTAGAGTACCAAAGGGTACTCAGGGCGTTTTTTGCCACTAACTTCAGAAAACATTGTCCATTTATACCTTCCTTTTCAGAATGGCAATCAAACCTCAGGGAACTCATAAGTTCTGTTGTACGAGAGGCCATCCTTATATAGTCTTACTTGTGAAGTAGTTAAAATCAAAGAACCGCAACAAACTGATAACCAGAGCATGTGAAATTTTGTGTGCAACTATCATCAGTTCATTTAATCGATGATTAAGAATGTTTCACCGGATATAGCTAGTAACAGTCCAGTAAAAAGATCTCACCTGTGTAAGTAAGCATTCGGTGTGCGAAATGCAAGCAGAGTCCGAAGAATGAAAAATACTTACGTTCGTAAGCCAATTTAGTTTTGACAGGAGACTCAACAAAATTTGTCTTACCACCTGCTAACCCACCGTAACGAATGAACTCCATTAACTGACTTAAACGATTGGTTTTCCTCCTGTCAAATATCGCAACTAGCTTCGTACCCATTCGTTTATTTGACGAAGCCTACATGTCAAAAATCAAACGTTTCCTATTAATGAACCAAAATATTTTTGCACAATTTTACTGAAAATCTATATTTTGAACCGGTTATAACCATATTCCAAAAGTTAATAGAAAAAACCTGTTTAAAATAACGACCGTGTTTATTTCTATGTAGAAAAACGCACATACGATCAACCGAGCTATAAAAAGATTGTTGAAATGCACGCAAAACAAGTTTATATATCTTATAGCTTAGATCTACCATGTTTCAGGAGATCCACCTATGATCACCACGACCGAGGCATTTCGTGCAAGTTCTTCCACCTAACGATGCATCAGGGATCGCATAGTTGGCTTTACGGAGTTGTGAATTCTTGCGTCCAGTTTTTCATTGTGCACACTTACGTAGTTTTTCCTCAGGTTGTCCTAATAACTGCTATGATTTCCACTATTTACATTTTCCGTTTCAGCTCCCAGGCCAGACAAAATGTTGTCCTAACTGAGGAGTTTCGTCTTTCCCCAATTTCAAGTTTGGTTATTCCGCTGTCCCGGGACGCGCGTAATCTGCATTCGCCCCAGTTGAATGCAGGTGGTTCTGTACTCAACCGCAAAAATCTCCAGAATAGTTTTTTCGAAAGAGTTGCTTGGTCTTTACATGTGATCCAGGCCCTGTGAAGACGATTCAACTGACACCAGTCAAACTGGCAGATTGATCATCCTTGTAACCCCAGGTCTCAAAACTGCAGAGCAATAAAAAGAGTTCAACCAAGTTGAATATCGCAATTAAGGTCTCTTCGCTGAGCTGATCAATCCTGCAAACACGTTTTCTCGGAGTGCTCAACGTCCAGCAAGCCTTCGTGACTTTTCTGGTCACTTCGTTGTCCAGTTTCAGGCACTTTGATAGTGTGTGGTGTGGTTGTAATTCTTTGAGTACTATCGTTTCCTACCAATTCCCGTGGCAGTCGCGTTGTGGAAAAGGTTACGCATCATAGTTGTGATATGATTCGACTGTTCGCAAGTAGTTAGTAATGAAATATCCGGTCAGGTGCCCCTTCCATTTTCTACTGTTAAATATCGTTATTTGGACATATGACGCAAAATTGCTTTACATTTATACTGTGACCCAAACCAAAACAGCATTATTACACTACCTGTTTGACTTCATAAAAAGCGAACAATCTGTACCCACTTAAATACTTATTTAATTGTATTAGAAAATCAAATAAGAGTTACTGGGTCCATGGAAAAATCAGATTAGTAGACCAAAGCCTGAAATCCTCTTACCCATTAATTTTGATAGCTGTTCTGTTATTTGAGCTTTGGTAAGCGAAAAACTTGCATTAAATTTTGGAGACCTGAGTCACGTATCAAAATAAAAATCATTATCGTGGATTTGAAATAGGCACAGAAAATTTGAGTTTCACCTTTTGATTATCGAAAAATTGTTTTGAACAGTTGGCACCGACCAAACCGTGCATACATAGATGGGCAATTTCCAAAATCAAGGCTCCATGACTATGAACCACTTGTAACTACTGATTAGTGTGTTGTTCGTACGTTTGTATCACCCTAATTAGTTCACATATACACAAGGTTGTCCCGTATTCTTAAGCCCAAGGACTTAGCATCTATCCTTTGTCATTAACGTCTGACAGTTCACCCTCACAGGAGCGTAGATTAACCGGGTGATGAAATTTAGACAATCTGTTAAGTTTCAACCTACAATGCCACACAACAGCTTAATTGCAATAGGTTTCATAGAAACGTCAGCGGATAATCTCAAATTACTCAACCTAAAAGATTAAACCATACGAATCATACAAACAACATGTTTATTTGTGAACGGAGTGGTTTCCGTGAGATCCGAAAACCTGTTCTCACTTCGCCGAACTAATCCTTCTTATGGCTGTAAAATCAGGGGACTAAGATTCACTCATTTTTGAGTGAGTGACCCTACTTCAATCCGTAATCTTATCGTGCATTCAGTGATATCTTAAAAAATTGTGGTGCCCATAGGGTAATTGACTGAGGAACATAAGTCGGGTTCACCAGTAGTTTCGTATCAATAGTGGAGCGGTTTTCTCTGATCAGAGTTTGGTCAAAATGCTTCACACCTTTACCATAAAAAATTAAACACTGCGGCAAATGTCTTTTGTCATCGACACATGCATGTAATTAGTGAACAACGTTCAAAATGGATCATACCAGCCAATTCCGACAATTTTGCTTCTATGCCACCTGTAGATTTTAGAAGAAAAAAAATTTCCCGTCACAGTCAAATGGAATTTTTGAACCAGAAACTATATGATCTCTGAATGGAAACAATTCATTTGTGCTTGCACATAGGAACTTTTGTCCGAGCTTGAATTTGGCAGGTATGCATTACATCAGTAGATTAGTTATTTTCGGCTACGTTGTTAATGGACTGATGAGCTCGAATCTGACAGGACAAGGCTGTTGAGGTTCGCGAGACGGAACTTTGAGTGATGCTTAGGTTCGACAATTCCGAATACCAAAATAATGAATTGGGCTCGAAACTCTACAGTATTGCTTACTCAGGGGTCAAAAAAGTGCATCCAAAAATACAGTTGTACACTTTTTGAGCGTCGATAAGTCTTTCGCTGACAGACACATCGCACTGTCAACGTCCGCATACCAAACAACGGCGAGCGGAAAGTTAGCTCAGTAGTGGAGATTACGTGTGTACTTTCCGACGAAATTCTTGTGATTCCCACTGGCCACAGGGAAGTCATGAGAGAACAAATCAGGGCCAATATCAATGCGCGTGGGTAGGTAGATCAGCTTCGCACTTTCGCGCACAGACAAAATTCCCAACAAACACGTTTCGGACGAGACGGCCTTTGCGGCCAAGTGAGTGGCGACTACAGATTACCCTAACAAATGCGATCAAAAATGCCGGGCAGAGTGAGGAAATGAACGGAGGAGTCAAGTTAGGTCAAGTTAGATTCAATGGAGGTTTTCTATTCTTTGTGCAAGCGTGCACCTTCATAATTTGGCGCTCAGTATTCACCGGGTTCGAAAACCTAAAACGGCAGTTAAGTGGAAGGATAATGCAAGGCAATTTCCTGGTTGTATTTTATTCGTAACAACAGGGCGCGCTTCATTAAAATAATAACTTGTCTGTAACGCCATTCATCGTTACTGTTCTCATCAGCAGGCCACCAGGTATTCATTTGAGCTTATAGGAACAGTTTATTTGACAACTATTCCACCTACTGCTGACACCGTCATGAATTGACGAGGGGAGCCTTTGTGGCTGTTATACAAATATCGTTCTCATGTTAACGAACTTCTAGGAAATATCCAGAAGCTTGAAGTCTCGTCAAAACAAAATAAGATTTCGTTGCAAACCTGTAATTGTGAGCTGGACGTTTATTCCGACTATCCTCTTTCACTTTGATGGGACATTGCCGTTTCTTGCCATAAAGCTACAATAGCACATATATTCTTAGGATTGTTTGACGTTATACGGTTGCGAGTTTAGTACCGTATTGGGTGAGCAGACAAATGTAACCCTGTAACAACATCGAAAGGGAATCAAATTCAAATTTCATTTGGCCTAATGGCGCTCCTAGTTGGAAATTTCGCTGGATATGACTGACCTACCAACAGACATGGGTGGTGGCAGATTGAAAGGGTATTCAATCCAGTGTAAATCGCCGTTAACCAAAAACTCAGAAAGGTTGCCTAGTTGAGGCCATCCTGACTTGAGGGTCTGTAAATCGTTAACATGACATTTCCACCGAACATCAGTTTGATAGAGTTGCACATTATTTGGGATGTTGAAGCAGTTTCATTGAGTTTATTTCATCGTCTTTTAGCAAACTTAGTGGGTTTATTTGAGCAATAAAAACCAAATTTTCTAATCCTAACGATATACCTGCAAGAAGCCATGTGCAGCTCTTGGAATCAGTTTGAAACTCAGGTGTTTACTGTTTTTTTAGATGGACGTTCTTCATGCAGAAGAACTAAAAATAGTTTATATCTAGACGAAAATATGCTACAACAATAAAATCTCCACAAATTATTTGTTTTGCATACAAAGTTGTCTAAACGATACTCTTGATATTCCAGTCCGCTGTTTTACTTCACGCAAGGATATAACTCATCTCACTAGCAGCACGTTTTTACTGTTTCTAGCAGAACGAACACAAAAATGTCTTAATGGTGAAGTGGGGGTTACCACAAATCCAGTATGCGAAACTCATGAATATTATTTCGATTGCTTTCCTATCCAGTGAGAATTGCGAAAAGAAAGCATCATTCCAAAGTGTGGTGTTAAAATAAGCACACAAATACCACGAGTAAAATCATACCTTTTAAAACCTTCAGCGCCTTCAGTACTTCAGCTGCAGACAGTTTGTAAATAAGCAAAAAAAGCAAAGCAGATTTTCAAACACTCAACTTCTCTGGTAATATATGGAACCTCCCTATACTTTAAGTCTTTTGTATGAAATTCTCAGAATATTTGGTAACTCTTCCAGGAGTTTCGTACACGTTGGGTGAATCGGCATACGAGGTTAAGTGAACATTTTTGCCTGAAGTTAAATAACGTAGAAAACTTCATTTTTTCCCGGTTGCATAGGGTCTCCAAGTTGCTGTACATCGCACACTCGTGTAGACAGAAACTTTAAAGGAAACCCTAAGAATGTTTCTGTTTGTGTTTTAAATGTTATACCGGAATATTTGAACTCTTCCCGAGGAAAAACAAGCGCCCGGAATTTTCGCTAATGTGCTCCATAATTTTTGCCGCAAACACGTTTTGCTGCATTTATTCAGCAACTGCTCGATCGATCCGTATCACAAGTTTAGTGCATTTTTTAAGTGTTCGTGGATAGCAGTTTGCTAGTAATGACGGTAGTAGTAACATAATATTACTGTTGTTCACGGGACTGGCCTAGCCATCGTTGACAAAGCCGAAAAAGTTGTCATTAGGTTTTTGAATTTTCCAGACAAATTTGAAAACAAACTTTACCTTCTAATCCTTCCTGACTTTCCTGTACTGTCCCTTCATTGTCATGGTAAAAATTGCATTGCAGACATTACAGGTCAGCCTTTAACACACATACACAATCAGCAGGATAATGTAAATACCGATTACTTGGCAGGTTCTGGTTACTGAATAATGTCAGTTGTCTTCGATGCTTATAGAGAAGTCTGATATGCATTTGCATTTAGGCCTTACTTACTAATTTCACCATCTTCTGAATTCATGTTTGTTGACTAAAAACGTGCACTTTGCATGCAAGCTTTTTGAAACAAACTTTATATGGAACAGGTTTTATGGACAAACATTTGTCATCTATTGCAATATATGGTGAGATCTAAAGCACAAAATAAGACACTTTTTGACAGAGTGTGACGATTCTGAAGTGTTTCGTGAGTTGCTCGTATGAACTTGTGACTGGCATAGCCAGTGGGTTTGCATTCAATGCACATCCGTTTGTTCAAAGCTCTGGAGTGTGAAGTGGTCAAAAATTAAATTATCCAAACTACTTCAACCGGAAAAGTGAGGAATACACTGTTGATATTTTTGACTGATGACATGACAACGGTATTGAAAACATTCCATTCAAATATGTGCTCTTTCTACCCGTGCATATTTTAAGTAGTGACAATGCAATGGGGCCTGTAGCAAAAATGAGCCGCAAAGTCTGCAGACACAGGTTATGCGCAAAAGTAGCTTTGATCATTCTGTGTTGTTTTCAATATTGTCTTT